CTAGTCAGGAGCACATGTGTATTCACCACGAGATGTCTACATAGTAGCCCCTGTATTCATTTCCTGGGGCTTCCTTAACAGAGTACCGCAGCATGGGTGGCTTAAAACAACGTTTATTCTTACGGTTCTGGAGGTAGAATTACAAAACCAAGGTGTTGGCAGGGTTGTGCTCCTCAGAAGCCTCTAGAGGACATTGCTTCTTTGCTTCTTTCAACTTCTGGTAGTCCCAGGCATTGCTTGGCTGGTAGAGCATCACTCCAGTCCTCCATTTGCAAAGAGCGTTCTCCCTGTGTCCCTGTGTCTTCATATGCTCTTGTAAGGACACCAGTCATATTGGATTAGGAGTCCTCTCTACTCCAGTATGATCTCACCTTAACTACTTAACTGCTTAAGTTACCTACTTAACTACTAAGGACTTCAGTATATCTTTTTTGGGGAGAACACAATTCAACTTGTAATAGCACCTAACAAATATTAGTTGAGTGAATAAATAAAATGACGACTGAACCGAAATTTCTCATCAATATAAGGGGGATTGACTACAGTGTATTCTGTATAGGAGACAAAGAGCTAAAGCCCAAGGCCAAAGGAAGATACACATATTTCTACATCTTTAAGTGTTACTGTGGTTTCAAATTGATAGAGGGGATGTACTCAACAACTAAAAAGACACCAGAATAGACTCAAACACAGCCTTCTAAAAATCTGTTTTTCTGGTCACCATACGTTGTCCAGGGATTGTGTCAAAGCAGAAATAGAGTTCCTGGGGCACCTGGGTGGCTCAGTCGGTTAAGCATCCGACTTTGGCTCAGGTCATGATATTCCTGTTCATGAGTTCAAGCCCCGTGTCGGGCTCTGTGCTGACAGCTCAGAGCCTGGAGCCGGCTTCGGATTCTGTGTCTCCCTCTCTCTCGGCCCCTACCCTGCTTGCATGCTGTCTCTCTCTTTCTCTCTCTCTCTCTCTCTCGCAAAAATAAACATTAAAAAAAAATAGAATTCCTATTTGCATTCTGCAGGATCAGATATGGGCAGAAATAAAAGACAATACTCTGAAAGGAAAAGGAAAAGGGTTTCCTACTACAAGGTGTGGTGGGATCTAAAGAAATTTACTGACTACGTAAATATCAAATATTTATTAAAACTTAAATTATTTTATATATGAACATAAGATAATATGTGTTTTCTTATCAGTCTTCTCTTTGTTTAAATTCAGATAAGGATTAATTTGCAAAGAGGTAGCAGGTGAGTGAGGAGGTTAAGAGTATGGGTTCTAAACCCAACTCCTCCACTTACTAGCTAGGTGAACTTGTGCAACTTAATTTCTCTGTGCCTCAGTTTCCTCATCCGTATCATGGAGATGATAATAAGGGTACCTTCCATAGAGCTGTTATAAGAATTGTATGATTTGGTTGTATAAAGTGCATAGAATTGTGTCGGCTACATGGTAAGGATTCAATAAAGGTTAGCAACTATTTTCATTATATGCTAGCCATTTGCTCACTTCAACTAAATACTATGACATATAAAGGCTTTCATATTTATTTTATTTTTTAAAGTCTTATGCAGGGCCACCTGGGTCACTCAGTCGGTTGAGTACCCGACTTCGGCTCAGGTCATGATCTCATGGTTCATGGGTCCGAGCCCCGTGTCAGGCTCTATGCTGACAGCTCAGAGCCTGGAGCCTGCTTCAGATTCTGTGTCTTCCTCTCTCTCTGTTCCTCCCCTGCTCACACTCTGTCTCTCTCTCTCTCAAAAATAAACATTAAAAAATTTTTAAAGTCTTATGCAAATTGAGTTTTATTCACATACTATATCTACTATTAAAATAAAATCTTTTAGCCTGTCATGAATGGATCTCACTATCAACATAATTGTTAATCATGCCTAAAGACCTCTCATGTCCTACTGCAACCAGAACTAATCCAAGGGAGCAAGCTGTCCTTATAACTCTTCTTTGCGGAAAGGTCAAACCTCACCATAGCAAGAAATATCTATTTCCATTGATCAAAGATAAATCATTAAAATTCCACAATTAACAAATATCATAAATGATACAGGTAAATAAATCACTATCAACCCTCCCCCCAAAACTGATAAATATCCATTTCTGGAAATAAAGGCAGACAGTCAAGATGTTAAGAAAGATGATTACATGGCTTAATTTACTCTGATAAAAAATGGTTCAGAAACTTGCAGACCATGTCATAACAAGGAATATTTTGTGTCCTGGTGTGACAGAGATGGGGGGATACCAGAACGTGACCTCCTTTTTCATGCTTTGTTTCCCCCGTGACAGTGACCGAGAAAATTAAGTTACGTTAATTGGAATGAACAATCCATTTTTTTTATTCCAGGTTATTTCTTAAAAATTTTTAAAGTAGGTCTTAGAAATCTTGAGAATTCTGTCAACTGTTTATTTTCACTTAAGGGTGAACAACTGAACATGTCTCAGTTGGTTGTGTCCAACTTTAATTCAGGGCATGATCTCACGGTTCATGAGTTTGAGCCCCACGTCAGGCTCTGTGCTGAGCCTGCTTCGCATTCTGTGTCTCCCTCTCTCTCTGCCCCTCCCCTGTTTGCACTCTGTGTGTGTGTCTCTCTCTCAAAAATAAATAAGCATTAAAAAAAACTTAAAAATACATTTAAAAATAAAGGTGAACAGAAATCAGTGTTGTTGAAGATAAAGATTTGTATAGATTAAACACGGAGACATGTGCCTAGACTATAATATCTAGTATAACTTGTGTTTTATATCTCCAAACTCAAGTTGCCACAAACCAAATACTGTGGTTTCTTATCAGTTAGTTCTGTGAAGTCACGTTTTGGTAATATTTTCCATCTGTGATGTTATAACACACGGTCTATTTTAAGTTTAGTTCTTACAAGATGCTAACCACTCTTCACATGTATGTGTCATATAAACATATAGAACTCCAGGTTTTAGATCTGAAAAGACCCTTTGGAGCTTTTTATGTTAAAAGTGTTCCTCACTTCTGAAGGGTTGAAAAGTACTATATTTCCTGGTACTGCCTCTCCATGTTCTCTGTTTCATCCTCCAAAATCTGATTAAAAATCAGAACCTATTGACAGCACAGAGCAGTACGAAATCACTGATAATTATTCACGGCCTATAATCTCCAGGAAAAAAAAAGCCAATACCAGTTGAAACACAGTGGTTCCAAAGAGTTAAAAGGTTAGAAATCAAAGACGACATTGAGTAGGCTGTGTTTTTTGAGATCCTCTCTACTCCTACCAGACTCAAACCCACACAGTAATCAGCTGATAGGGCTTCTCTTTGAGTATTTAACTTTCTTCTTAAAAATAAAACAGATATTTAAAAAAATGATCAGGGTTAAAAGTAGGAGCCATTGTGCATATATGTGTATATAGCATATGCACATACACCCAAACACATACTCAACCACCTATATTTTGGTTACTCTGCTACACGGTTAAAGAGCTTATTTTGGCTTAGAAACCGGGTTCTATGACAAAATTTAACTCTGAAGAATTTTTTTTTCTTTTCATTTGGTTTGTGGAGTTATAATATGTTGCATAGTCCTAATCTTAACCAATGATTACCCTCAGGATAAAGCTAATTTCCTTCTCCAAATTAGTCCCAGCAAATTTACACAAGAATTATGAGACTTTAGCTAAGAATTGACCAGTCTTTGGTGAGTAGGCTAAATTTCATTTCCTAAGGTTGGATTGAAGGGTCAAAACTTGTTACTCTCCAAGTTCCATGACTAAAATGTGTATTTCTAATAAGACATGTTGTTTATAAAATCTGACTGTTTATTACCCAGGACTTTGTGATCTCTTCAATACCTTATTTTACTGAATTTTAAAAATTTGTTTATTTATTTTGGGAGAGCGAGAGAGTGCATACAAACAGGGTCAGTGCAGAGCCCAGCGCGAAGCTCAATCTCACGAAACGTGAGGTCACAACCTGAGTCGAAATCAAGAGTCAGACGCTTAACTTACTGAGCCACCCAGGAGCCTCTCCAATATTTTAAATTAATATTTCGATTCTTACCTGTTACCAGTGATCTTTTTAATTTATTTTAATTCCAGGATCATCCTCATTTTATTTGTCATATGGAAGACTATCCTTTTATAAGAAACTACCCTCCACTTGCCTTTCGTCCTTTTTGAACTTGTTGGGAGTGACTCAATTCTTTATAATTTCTCTACAAAGAACTTCTACAAGGGAATCCTCTAGCATAGTTTTCTTAGAGCACAGTTATGTGAAAATTTCAGCATTTAATTCAAAGCATTGTCTTCTTTCACTGCTTTATTTTCTAATTATGGCTTTATTCCATACTTTAGCAAAGCTGCCCCTAACGCCAACCTCCAAAACTCGAACCTGTCAGGGCCATCCATCCTAAGTTTTCTTTCTGTATCTAACAAATGAATTCTTTCAGTTATCTGCTGGTGCACAACAAACCACCCCAAAATTCAGTAGTTTAAAACAATCAGTTTATTATTTCTCACAAATCTGAGGGTTAACTGGTTCTTCTGCTGGTCTTATTTGGAGTCTCTCATGCAGCTTCAGTCTACGGCAGATGGGGCTAGAACGTCCGTGGTGGCTTCCTTCTGGCCCCCTGGTTGGAAAGGTGGGCCCAGCTGGGACCACTGAATGCTTCCCTCTTTGTGTGGCCTCTTCATGTGATTTCTCCAGCAGAGTAGCCCAGCTTTTTACATGGCAGCTCAGGACGTTCCAAAGGGCAAAGGTAGAAGCTGCCAGACCTTCTTAAGCCTCAGTCCTGGACTTATTTCCGTCACGTTCTGTTGGTTGAAGTGAGCCATGGGGTCAGCTCAGGTTTGGGAGGAAATACACAGGACATGAGGCCCAGAAGGTGTGGCTTGTGGGGGCCATGTCTGAAGACCATCTACTACAGGGACTTCGTTTTCTTTTTTCTCCATTAAGACCTCAGCTCTTCTCTCCTCTTGCAGTTCCCTGCGTCTCTGGTGGTTTACCTAAGCCTACGAATATCACCTTCTTTTCCATAAACATGAGGAATATCCTACAGTGGAGTCCGCCAGAGGGTCTACAAGAAGCTGAACTTACTTACACTGTGCAGTATTTCATGTAAGTTAGTTCTTTTCCTTTTTGATAGTTTATACACATAAGACTCAGGCACCTATTAATTGTGCAAAGATAAACCATCTGTTGTATTAAGTATGCATTTGGGAAAAAGAAAAGTTTTAGATATTTCATACTAAATTCTCTTGGGACGTTCTGCTAGATTAAATTAGGTAAACACTTCTTTGGGGAGCCTGGGTGGCTCAGTCGGTTGAGCGTCCGACTTCGGCTCAGGTCATGATCTCGCGGTCTGTGAGTTTGAGCCCCGCGTCGGGCTCTGTGCTGACAGCTCAGAGCCTGGAGCCCGCTTCGGATTCTGCGTCTCCCTCTCTCGCTGCCCCTCCCCCGCTCATGCTCTGTCTCTCTCTCTCTGTCAAAAATTAATAAGCATTAAAAATTTTTTTAAAAAAAGAAAAACACTTCTTTGTGGAGACGGAAGCATTGGGTGCTTAGGCGAGGGAAAGTTACTTAAATGGAGGAGAGAAGTTGGTCAAAATGTTATTCTGCAGCTGAGCAAACAAGGAAATCCATCATCTCTGAAATGTCTAAACTTACTGTTACTAACAGACAATTTTAAGTGAAACTGAGTGCAGAATTCTGTGCCACTAGCTCTTCCTATTAAAAATAGTAGTGCGACGGACATTTTCACATTGTATCCCTCCCTCAAAAGTCATTGAAAGCGAGAAAGAATGCAAAACAGATAGACTGTGTCCATCTTCAAAGAAACAGAGGAAATGGCCAAACCCCAAGCCATAAACTATGAAGGATATAAGCCAAATACTGTGAAATCTGAAGGAAAACAACCACAGACACTGACACTGTCTAATCTTCTTGAACTTCAACAGTAGAAAATAATTTTATACAAGAATCAATGTCATAGTACTAAGAGGCTTACCTAACAGTCTTAGGATGTGGAATCTAAGGATTTCCACCACCAGAAATTGAGGAAGTGTCCCCATGAGCCCCAGTTAGTGCCACAGAATGTCAGAGACAGAGGAGCTGAAAGGGATTCAAATGACATATCCACTGTGTAGGCCCAGTCACCCTAGTGAGGTGGGTGCAGGAGGGAGGGGAGGTGACGATGGCTGGGAGGCAGCCTAGGGGGACCGTGACTTACTGATGTGCCATGGGGCACATCAGCCTCCTGTAATTCCAAAACTTGAGGGTGAGCAGGCTCTCCAGCAAAGGGAATGATCTGATTTAGAGAACAGGTGTCTGACTTCCCACACTCCTATACCCATTCACTTAATATTCAGTAAATAGCTGGCCCTGTTCAAAGAGTAATAGTCCCACAGAACCTGGCACAGCATTTCTCCATAATTATTGGCAAAGGAGAAAGACAAAAAGAAGGAAGAGGAGGAGGAGGAAGAGGAGAAGGAGAGGGAGAGGGAGATGACAACAGTGAAAAGATCCTGAAAAGCTTTCTTATGGAAAAAGGAGAAAAATTCAGACAAATAAGTGTTCATAGTTTGAATCATACATAACATGATCTCTAATGGTAAGTCAGAAAGGAAGGAAGGAAGGAAGATAGAGAAAGGGAAGGAGGGAGGGAAGAAGGAAGGAAGGAAGAGAGGGAAGGAGGAAGGAAGGAGGATAGAGAAAGGGAGGGAGGGAGGAAA